TGCACAGCCAAACATCCATACACATAAAATTCAAAACAAAACAAATGTATTTAATTGAAAGAGTTCCTAGCATTTCTTTAAAATTACAATTTCTGACATGGCTCTTACTCTAGTGCCTGCTGGTCAGAGTGAGCAGACACTCATATTGTGAAAGTTTTAAGAAAGAATACATTGAAAGTAGACCACTGAGGAGCTGGGAGTAGAGACCCTACCTTGCACACATGTGTCCTAAATTTTATCCCTAACACAAAACATACAAAATGAAAAAAATAACTGCCGAAATCTAAGGGGAGCACTCTGGGCTTTGGTGGAGGGTGTGTACCTTGGCTTATCACTGGAGAAGTTTCTAGACCCTTTCCTATTAGCATTCTTGCTGCCCCATAACCTCACAGATGTCTTGCCGGCATGCTAGAAGAACAGTATGTTCTCCCAATCTACTACCGATATTCACTACTTTGAAATATGTGGCATATTCTAACATTTTGTTATTGGAATGCTCACAGCAAAGTGGAAAGGATTCCACAGTGACCATCCACTAAGCAAGATCCTCTGCCAACATTTACCTGCTTCTCCCACCCAATAGTCATCATCCCATTTAATTTAGACACATCAATACCGTCCTATCACTCAATACAATTAGTGCAGTTTAAAGTAAAATTTACCTATGAAATACAACTATTAACTATAACAAATATTAACTACACATTAGCTTAGACAAATATATGTGCCTGTGAACCTCAAATCCCTAAATAAAGTACTCAGGCCCCTTCAAAGTCTGGGCTGCCACTCTTCTGTAGCAGAGTTCCCTCAACCTATATTTGAGTAGGTTGGGTGGCTCTCCATGTATTTCCTCTCTCCGTCATTCATCATGGCATAAAATGACATCAAATGTTGCTTGTACTATTCACTTATGAGATTGTGAGTTTAAATAAATCTGCTAAATATTTAGCTTTTGAGGGGCGTAACATAAAATTTTAAGTCTAATCTTGTTTAAGTGGGGACATATATTATGTAAACCTCTGATTTTTAGAAGAAATTCCTAAGCAATTAACACCTTAACTATGGTAAAGACATCTGGGATGAGGCTTCGCCTCTTGTGTGGGAGGTGAAGCTTAGGGGGTCCAACAGCCGTTCACACAGCCCCTGTGCCCTAAGCTCCTGATCAGGGGCGAACTCAAGGATTACAGATGGACCAAGAGTGCAGCCCTCACATGGGAGAGACCATCTGCATTTCATAAGAGCACCACTGCTGCCTCAAAAACATGCCAAAGTGAAGCAGTTTACTTGACAACTTTGCCAAGTCAGACGTCAACCTAAAGGAAAGGAAAAATGGCTGGCATGTCCGCGTTGGGGAAAACAGTGATTTGTTTTTATGATCCTAATTACATTTCCCTGTCCCTTGAACACCATCTGGGTGCTTCAGGTGCTTTTCCTACTTACCTAGTATGGCTCCACTCCAAACTCCCCATCCTCAAGATCCCCCTCCTTTTATCTGACACATAAGTTTAGTTCCACGGCAAATTATAACTTTTTAATCCTAAGAGAAACTAACAGCCAGTGGAGCCCGTGCTGGCTGCCAGCCGTCAAGGAAGGGCCTAGTGCCACTTGTTTGTCTGATTTCACTGATGAGCTCTAAATGCACCTACTGAGCATGGATGACAGTGTGTAAGGTCCCATCCCTGTCACCCGTGCCCAAGGATGCACGCAACTTAATTCAGCCTCAGAGGCAGCATTCAATAAAAAGAGGTTTCTGTTTTCTTTCAGAATTTGTTAGGCAGCTAATGTTCTGTGTTAAGGGCAGACTCTCATTGCTCAGAATGCTTTGCCCTTAAAAGGCAGTTTTACAATACTGGGCAGATTTATGAAAATTTCCTAAACAAAATCAGAAATTGAAATGTTAAAATTGAATCTCCTGCCTCCCCTAGCCATCCCTTACCGGACTTCTGCTTTTTCCAGAAACAGGAGTAACTTAAAATTGGATGCTTGCTTCCCGGTTGCTGTGATAGAACACTGACTGACCTCACGGAAGAGAGGGCTTACTTCACCTTTCGGTCCTCCATGGAGGGGATTCAAGGTAGGAGCCCAAACCTGGAACCCAAAATGGAAAAGGGAAAGAGTCCTGCTAACTGGCTTGTTTCCAGGCTCACAGACTACTCCCTTACACAGCCTAGGACCACTCGGCACCACCCATTCCTCCTAGAGCAATTAGCAATCAAGAAAATATCCCCGTTCTTAAAGGCGGAGGCAGGTAGATCTGTGAGTTCCAAGCAAACATGGTCTACACAGTGAGTTCCAGGCCCGTTTCAAAAAATGGAAAATAGACATGCCCACAGGCCAATATTTGATGACAGCAATTCCTCAGTGGAGACCAAGTGAAAAAGGACAAGTATCTGGACCGTTTCCCCAGGAAGCATGATTAGAATGGAGCCATTACAGCAGAAATGACCGACACACGGAATCACAGTGACGTGAGGCAGTGCACTACAGCGGAGGAAGGCACTCAAGAACCAAGTGCTTTGCAGTGAAAGAACTGTTGCCCTTGTTGAGCCTTCAGGACTGCTGAGCCAGTACACTAAATGTACCAGAAAGACTGGTGGGCTAATCTACTACACACATGCACGCACGCACGAACGCACACACAGACACACACGATTGCTAATGATAAGAGACTGCCCAACCACAAAACTCCAACTTCTATTCCAACATCCCCAGAGTTTAATGTTACTCAAACTCACAGTCACAACTCAAAAAAGCAACCGAAGCTTCATGCATAGCTACTTTTAATGATAAGAAGAGGAAATATATGTAGACCCACCTCCTCACCAACTTGGCAAGCAAAGAGCATTAAATTTATGCAAAGAGCATTAAAAACTGAAAAAAAAACTTTAAATCTAGAGAGAACATATTCAAGTTTTTGATATGCATTTATTTGTATATGAGAAAAAATACATTTGACATAAGGAACCCAAGTATGAATGCCTTCCTGCCAACAGTCTGGCCCAGCTGTGACTGCACCCACCTGGCTCTGACCACCCTCGAACCATGGTTCATTCTCTGTTAACCACCTACATGAGGCCAGCCCTTAAACTTTACAAGTTTATCTACATTGTAATTGAGCTTAGGAATTTCAGGAACGCAAAAATAACTATTTATGTACAATTCTGCCTTATTGCACAGGGTCACAATCTATAGCAAGTGATTATATGACCAACCACAAGATGAATGTTCATAGGCACAAACATCTGTCTCTAACCACAGGAAGCAAAACACCAATTTATTACAATGCAAAGGCTGTGTTGACTCTGCTGCAGTCCTGGGCTTCCCAGCACTGGTGTGTTAAATGCAAAACTCGAAGGTTTCTGGTAGCATCAGAGAGGACACATGGGATACTCCTGTCCTGCACTCATGAGTCACCTGTGCCACACATGGTACACAAAGGCCACTTTAAAGCTTTTCAGAGAGTTCTTTAGTCTTTTTGCCCTTAAAAAACATCACCGCACTGGTTAAGACTCTTAATTACATTCTGACATAAAAGTTCAAAGTGGGTTACAAGTTCTGAATTTATCAAATTTATCAGACAAAGCCACCTCTGTAATACACTGCAATCTAGTCTTCAAGAGCTCTAAGGGTGACAAAGTGTTTAAAAGTTAAAAAGCATTAGGAAGTTTAATTCTGCTTTAAAATGCCACATAATTAAGACAGCAAAGCCAAAGCATTACCCTCAGAAGCCTTGTGAGTGACACAGGAGTGTTTACAACTAAAATTTCAAACCACCTGCATGGAGTGTAAAGAAAACAAGGCCTCTCGCTCACTGAAGGCCAATGGCGCTCAGGCCCGGGGTCAAGCATGATCCCTGGTTAACTCACCTCCCCTGTGCTGCATCTGGGCAGGCCCCCAGGTGCACAATACTGCCTGTGGACACGGGAGTCAGGAACCAAGACACCATCTCTCATCAGTGAGAGTTCTCACCTTCAAATCATAACTGAATACACAGTACTACTCAGATGTATCTCGGTCAAATTCTGGTCTGTTGAATCCTCACATTTGCCCCTTAATGTCTGCACCGCACTGCACAAACTCTTCCACCAGTGTCACTCCAAAGCCACTGGCCTCCGTGACTGCCGCCCAATACTTACGAGGTGCCCGACTTTTACAGCTTGGTGATGTTACTTTATTTAACCAGGTTCAGTGTAGAGGTAAAAAGCTGCTTTGGATCACCTCCCCAGAAACTTCTCTCAAACTGCAGTTGAGAGTCTGATTTCAGTTTGTAGGTACACACACACACACACACACACACACACACACACACACACATGCAATTATCCAGAGATGAAAAACTGTTAGTAAGAAAGCTATCCTTAAGGACAGGGGATGCCAGGTATGGCAGCTCATGCCTTTAATCCCAGCACTCAGAAGGCAGAGCCAGGTGAGTTCAAGACCAGCCTGGGCTACATGTTGAGAACCTGTCTCAAAATAAAAGAAAATCAAGTAAAACCAAAACTAGGGAGGCTGGAGTGTAGCTCAGTGGGACAGCATTTGCCTAGGATGTGCAAGGTCCTGGGTTCAATCCCTAGCACCATTTAAAACAACAAAGAAATTGACTTTCTTCTGTCAAATCCTGGGAAACAAGCTTACCTGTGGTGTTTATAGACAGCTTCTTTAAGATCCTAAGCTACTTCTCCTGACTTATTTTATTTCAGTTGAATTGTGAGTCGTGTTATATTTACCCAGAAAATAACTATGTGACTCCTTGACCTGGTTCCTGCCAGTTGACTCCTACCTGAGCTCCAGAAGTCAGTGCTGTTACTTAGAGCAGACACTCCTAAATGGCACAGTGGTAACCGGGCTCTTCTAGAGTGTCAGAACCCTGAAATCTTTCTTTCCAGAGAAACAGAAGGAGGGCCAGATGGAGGAGAAGCACCCTCCGCTCCTTACCTTACTCTGCAGCACTGAGAAACCAGAAAAAAGGATGACCTGGGGTTGTATTAAGACTCCCAAAATAAAACTTTATGGAAGTGTTTATTTTCTTAAAGTCTAGTACCAGAGAACAGGATAGACATGACAGTTACTACTCACAAGGGACAATGTCCCCACTGGTCAGCTGTGTCGACACCAGTAGCACAAAGAAGTCAAGCAAAACAGTAGAGCTTGCCGTGAACAGCTTACCACGATGAAGCACAGAACAGAAGTTAACGAGGGCACCCTATCTTTTGGCAATGAATTCAGTAAAAACAGCACAAGGACATTCTGGAAGGGCTTAAAGTCATATTCAGAATTAAACAGAAAATGTTCAAAGCTAAACAGCAAAATGGAAGCTTTCGTTAGCTGCTCAGCTCTATCTCATCTGAACAGAAATAGTTTGGCTAACGACTAGCTCACCAGCACTTGGTTTCTGAACAGAAACAGTTTGGCTAACGACTAGCTCACCAGCACTTGGTTTCTGAACAGAAACAGTTTGGCTAACAACTAGCTCACCAGCACTTGGTTTCAAAGCTAACCCATGGCTCTGAGCCATCTGGGCTCCAGTCCTCGTGCAGAGCTGGGGTTTCATGACGATGGCCCTCCTAAGAGCAGAGACGGAACAAATGAGGTGAGAGTGAGGCTGAGAAGGCCGGGCTAGGAGCACGTGCTCTGGCTGCTGACGCCACACTTTCCACGCAGAAGGCCTAGCAACCCTTCCAGGAGGAAAAGAAATCAATCTCAGCTGGCAGCCGCCCTGAAAGGTCGTCAGGTACAGGCTGGTTCCCAGGCAACAGCCTAAAGTTCTGGAGTAATGACCAAACCCTAACCCTGACACCTGCCCTGCCCACTGAAACCTTCCTCTGTTTTTGTCAATGCTTTGTCTGTAAATTATGGCTTGGTCTTAATGACACCAACTTGTATTTAAGCCAATTAGGAACAATGCCAAATTGCATTTTCCTTAGGTCTAGCTAGCTGAGAATAACATCTCAGGTAGTGGCCTTATCATACAATCTTTAACAAAAACTCGTAAGTTGCATTGATTATTCCCCAGGAGATGAGAGAACGGTGGTAATTCAGATGTGCACCTCTGAAAAGATTGATCAGTTTCCTGTCCCGTTCTATCCAGATTGTCTTGAAGACCATGGGGAGAGACTGGAATGGCCCGCCAATCTGAGACTGTATTCGGGCTTTGACAACATTGACTGGGAAGCTTAGGAACCCCAGCATGGCTCCGAGCACACCTCCACAGATGAAGTCGTTGACCAGATGTGCGCTGTGTGTAGTGGCAGTAGGCAGATGCTCCTTAATGGGCCCTCGAAGGCCAAAAAAAAGGATATTGCTGAACCCATTTCGGAAAAGGATGGGCACCAAGCCACGGTAATACTCTGCAATCCCATGGCATCTGAGCGCCCGGAAGGCCTGGTAAGTGTTTGTGAACTTATCGTGATGCTTGTGGTCCTGAAGCAAAGTCTGAACCCTTTCAAATGGAGTGAGAATGGCTTCTGTTGTCCCGGCGAGCAGCGCCGCCACACTTCGAGTGGCAAACTCGGGAGCACTGCTCACATGCTTGCGGAGCAGGCGCGACAGGTCCTCATACAGACCAAACATAAGTGCCAGCGTGGTCGTCTTCTGCATCAGCGGGGGGAGGATTCCTCGGTACAAGTTTCGGAACCCATCCTTCCTCAACTGCAGGATGGCATCCCGGGTTTTGATGCCGTACAGCTGCTGCCGAAAGAGAATCTTCTGAACAGGGTATGTGATGGCCACGTTGTTGAAAGCTGCGCAGCAGCCACACAAGTAATGCTTTATGTCCCCCACGTCCGCAATGTGAGGTGACAGATCCTGGTTTGAAGAGGTCAACATTGGGGGCCTCTTGTCATGCGCTTCTGAGTCCATCATGGTGCTCTGAGCTTTCCTCTCTGGGGAAGACTGTTTTAACCTGTAGACAATGAACGACCAAGGTGTTACAGAGAGCAAAGCTCAGGAACTCTGCCCCGCCCCCGCTCCAATTCTCACACTCTGTATTTTCCCTTTACAGCTGGATTAGTAATACTCTATTTTTAAATAAAAGAATACTTTTACTAATCATACATATTAATTCGATTCAGTCAGTGTGCTGTTTCTACATACAGATTAGTAGTTTGTTTTCTGTGGCGTTTTGCTGTTGCTATTCTTGTTTTATGACAGTCTTGCCATATCACAGCCCCACTCTAAATGTCTAGCTTTAGGTCACTGGTTGTTTAGAAATACTTCAGAGGCAGACTAGAGGAATCCTGGGTCATCCCTTTTTGCAATCACTTTCAACCAAACTACCTTTACAACAGACTGAAGAGACAGACAGAAGGCTCCACCTATGTGTTAGCCAGACAGGAAGGAAGTACGGAAAGTTATAAAACACATGGGAGGCACAGAATAGCAAGTGATTTTTCATAAAAGTGTGATATTAGCAGGCCATAGGTTCACCATTGCTTTGTTAATAGCAATTACCATTTCAAACTTGTTTAATCCCTAAAACTTGAATGTCAATCCATGTAAGTGATAGTTTTCTGAGGTTCACAATAATTCTTAAAGGAATTTATAAAGAAACAAGGGACGCTAAGATCACTGACCCAGTTTCTCAACACTAGCTATCCTACAGAACCAGAGAGCGCCATCATCCCACTGAAACAAGACTCACAGCTCTCCCAGGAGTTGCCAGGCTCAGAAGCCCAGCGCTGGAGAAGTGGAGGCGGGGCAGTGTGAAAGTTAAAAGCCAATCTCTAGGTCAGCTTGGGCTTCCTGTGAAACCCTGTCTCAAAACAGGGAAAAACAAACAAACAAACAAACAAACAACAACAACAACCAAAACAAAAAACAAAAAAACAGGACAAAGTCCTCCCAAGAGATGCAACAGCAAATTATGCCATGCATTCAACTGGTACAACTTGTATTCATTTATTTAGTGCCTGTGACTTTGGCCTTCTGCTAAGCATTGATCCTCAAAGACAATAAAGTCACAGACTAGTCATCGACTGTCAAGTAAGCAAGCTGGTCACAGTGCATTGGTGTCTGTGATTCTGAGTGTCTGTGGGTGCAGCTGTACATGTGGGGTGTGAAGGTCATGGAAGAATGAGGTTAAGGTCCTCACGAACCTCTGTTTGTCATATTTAATTCTTCAAACTATAAAGTTATCCTTCTAGTTTTATGTGAAAAAGAAAAGGAGACCCAGTGATGCTCATTGTTCAAGACACAACTAGTAACTGGTAGGGCCAGACCACTGACAGGGACCCTAGTGTCTACCCTGTTACTGCACCTAGCACTGACTCTGGAAAGGCGCCCTGGGTCTCAGGTGGGTACAGCTCATAGGGAGACAGAGATCCAAAAATACAGGTTTGCTCTCCCAGAGAGGAAGCAAAGTCTTAGTTTTATGTCTGTGTCCACAAGATGTAACAGTCCCTCCATAAACAAAAGACAGGGCAGACGAGACGGCTCAGCAGTGCCATGAAGGCTGATGACCTGAGTTTGATCCCTGGGACCCACGTGGTGGCGGAGAGAACCAACTCCTACAAGTTGTCCTCTTACTGCAATACAACGTGAGCCACCTCAATACAAGATAAATAAAAATGTAATTAAAAAAAAATGAAAAGAAAACTAACAGTAGGAACAGTAAAATAGCTGGCTCTAGGCAGGCCTGGAGCTCTCCTGTAATGCCAGCACTCAGCAAGCAGAGACAAGACAGCTGCAAGCTGTGGGCCAGGCCGTTTATAGTCAGACCTCTCAAGGCAATCCTTGCATCCCAAGGCCCACCACAGAACCAGCTTCTAATTGGGGACAAAATAGTAATCTGAATATATTTTAGATTTTTAGGTTGATTTTGGTTTTCAAGACAGTTTCTCTGTGGCCTTGGCTGTCCTGGAACTCACTCTGTAAACCAGGCTGGCCTTGAACTCGCAGAGATTCTCCTGCCTCTGCCTCCCAAGCGCTGGGATTAAAGGCATGCACAACTACCATCCAGTGACTTTTAGTATTTGTAAAGTGATTCTGTTTGTTTGTTTTGTTTTGTTTTCCAAGACAGTTTTTCTCTCTGTAGCCCTGGCTGACCCAGAACTGGCTCTGTAGACCAGCCTGGCCTCAAACTCACAGAGATCCCCCTGCCTCTGCCTCCACAGTGCAGTGCTGGGACTAAAAGGAGGCTTCGACATGCTCTACCTTGCTGTTCACCTCTGTGTAGTATGTGCAGCTGCATGCATTTGCTGGCAGGTGCCTGTGCAGGCTGGGGGGGGGGTGAGGGGGGCATCCCCTGAAGCTGGACACAGTTGGTTGTGGACAGACCAGGTGCTACCACCTGCTCTCTGAAAGGGCAACAAGCACTCTTAACCATGGGGCTACAGCTCAAGGCCCTTGTGTTTTTAAATGGACTAATTCTTCTGTAGTAAGAGACAACATCTAACAACTTTGGCAACATTTAGCAAAATAGTAAATAACCCAATTTAAAAATGAGCAAAGGACTAGAATGAACATGTCAAAATATAGACTATGTACAAACAAATGGTCAACAGGCACAAGAAAGATGGTCAACTTTATAAATCATGAGAGAAATACAAATCAGAATTATCACTTTCAAGTATTCTACTAGCAGCCTTCAGATGAAGATGTAGAACTCTCAGCTCCTCCTGCACTGTGCCTGCCTAGATGCTGCCATGTTCCCATCTTGATGATAATGGACGAACCTCTGAACCTGTAAGCCAGCCCCAATTAAATGTTATCCTTATAAGAGTTAAAAAAAATATTATTACTTTCTACCCACTTGAATGTCTAATATCAAAAACAACAATAAAATATGCCCCCCCCAACAACAAATAAACCAGGGGCCAGGGAGCTGTCTTAGCAGGTAAAACCTTTTGTCTGCAAGCCTGAAGACCCCAATTTGATGTCTGGAACCCACATAAAGAACTGGCAGGCAGAAACCAAAGAAATTGCTAGAACAGTGGTTCTCAATCTTCCTAAGGCTGTGGCCCTTTAATATAGTTCCTCGTGTTGTGGCGACTCCCAGCCATAAAATTATTGTTGGTATTTCCTGACTGTAATTATGTTCTGTTACAAATTGTACTGTAAGTATCTGATATGCAGGATATGTGACAGTCGACCCCCAAAGGTATGGAGAACCACAGGTTGAGAACCTATTGCCGTACAAGTTCATGTAGCCTGAAGTAGCCGTGCTGAAACACTACAGAGCACACGCACGCCTCGGAAACATAGTGGGAGGTTTCCCAGAAGTGGTCCTCTGACCTCCACAGCACAGCAGCACACATGCATGCACACACATGCATGCACACACATGCATGCACACAC